ATATTAGCATTTTAACAAGTGGCAGTAGACACATTTCAAGTGCCTAATAGCCACATATGCCTTCTATATCAGACAGTACAGGTTTAGAGTCAAGTGGGCCTGGATTCAAATTCTGGCTCTGCTATTAAACTTGCCATTTACTTGCTAAATCTCATTTTCATCATGTTAAAAATAACTATCTCCAGATACTGTTATGAGAATTAAATTAAAATGGCATACACAAGGCACTTAGCACAAGGTCTGATATACAGGGGTGCTCATTAAATGAGAATTCCCTCACCCTCCCCTTCTTCTCTAGAACTGAACACTGGCTCAATATGGTATAATCTGTGACCTAGCATTAGTTCCTTCCCTTCTACCTCTACGATAAATTATAGCCTTTTCCTCTACCTGCACAGCTCTCCCTCCTTATTCCTAGCAGCTATAAACTTGACTGTGTGGACTTCTAGAAGCCATGGACCCTCTTAGTCATGATCCAAGTATGTGGTCCAAAAAACTAAAAAGATCTGTGCCCGAAAATTTCCTTTTCTGGCCCTGTCTCATCTACCTCCCCAGCTGTTACCACGGTTGCAGCTTCCTCAGCAACTGCCATCAACAGCAATGCTCTCCATTTGAAGATACACTGACCTCAGAAATTTAAAAGATGAGAATCATTCTGCAAAACAACTGGCCAGGACTTTTCAAAAGTGTCAAGGTCAAAAACGACAAAGAACGACTAAGGAACTGTCACAGTTTGGAGGAGACTAGAGAGACATGAAAAATAAAAATAAAGTAAAGGATCTTGGGTAGCATCTTGGTCTAGGAAAAGGACAGTAGTGGGAAAACTGGTGAAACTCAAAAAGGTCTGCAGTTAATAAAATTGTATCAATACCAATTTCCTGGTTTCAGTAATTGTACTATGGTTATACATAATGTTAATATTAGGGAGTATAAGATGAATAAAGTCTGAGGATCTAATGGATAACATGGTGATTACAGTTGATAACACAGTATTGTATAAATGAACTTACTAACATAGTAGAACTTAAATGTTCTCACCAAAAAAAAAAAAGGTACATTGTGAGGAAATGGATGTGTTAATTTAGTGAGACGAATCCTTTCACAATGTATACATATATCAAATCATCACATTGTACTCTTTAAATATCTTACAATTTTATTTGTCAATTATACCTCAATAAAGCTGAGGAAAATATTAGGGGGGTACAGGGGAACTCTATATACTATTTTCATAACTTTTCTTTAATATTATTTCAAAATAAAAAGTTAAAATGCCTTTAAATATGATTACTTGAAACTCTATTATGAAGGAACCTCTGTCCTAATGGATTTGTTAATTGATATGTCATTGTAAAACAGTGCTACTTATGTTAAGCCTATCGCAGTAAGGCCATCACATAGGTTAATGAAAAGTCAATTCCAAGGTATAGAAAATCCACCTTAATCACCACTATTAGTTTGCAAATCCACTAAAAGAATATGATGTCACCTACATCCGCTCAGTAATACTGAAAATTTGATGAAAGCAAGTACTGTTTTGTGTGACCAGTAATGTTATTAAATAAATATACCTTTTGATTTAACATTACTGAATAATATGCTTAAACAGTAGCTCCACTGAGACCAACTTTTTACAGAGAGTGACAGGCAAAGATGAGGAAGAGATGTAAAGAAACATATTCCAAAAGGCACCCCCTCAGATCTTCCATGCTTTAGGAAACAGCCTTGGTCAATAAGCTCTGAACAAAACCCCTTGCAATAGAAGGGACAGTCTGTTCTACAGCACGTGTTTCTGTAATGCGAATTAGCTCATAGGCAATTGGCAAATGGAGAAATGAGTTCAGGATAAAGCAGAAGCTGCATTGGTCCACATGAAATTTTTTTCCCAGATCATTAATAACAGCAACTGAAAGCTAAGTACACTAATGGCAGCAAGCCAGGAAAAAATCAGTATTATACATTCAACCCTTCTTTTAGAAGTGCTTATTGCAAGGTTAAACTTATCTTTGTTGAAAAAAAAGAAAGAAAGAAAGAAAAATTATAGATAAATAAATAAAGCAAAGTAACACAAAACATCTCTGGTATCAGTACATTTTATACGAAGCTTGCAATCTTTTCTCTGCGTGCAACTTCTGATGATAATGTCCCTCTGCCCTTGTATATATAGATAACCTCAACACTTCCTTATATCGCCTTCCACCAAGCTACCTTCATCTTTTTTGTTTTAAGTAAAACCCTACATTTACTGCAATGTTTATTAGAAATTTCATGTGTCTTTTAAAGTGCGCTAGCACTTTTATTGGAATGGTTATTGTTTTCATTAGTGCTCTGGTTACAAAGTTGCATAAGCCCTACTAATTTAAGTATGAATTTGCAAACTTCAAAGTTTTCCAGAAATGCATATAATATTATAATAGAAATGCGATATTTCTACATACTGTGAATACATAATATTCTGTCCCAGGATTTTTTTTGTGTGAAGATCAGATGTGCTAACATCTGCCAATCCTCCTCTTTTTTTTTTTTTTCCTGAGGAAGACTGGCCCTGGGCTAACATCCATGCCCATCTCCACTTTATATAGGATGCTGCCACAGCATGGCTTGCCAAGCGGTGCATCGGTGCGTGCCCGGGATCCGAACGAGCGAACCCCAGGCCGCCGCATTGGAGCACGTGCACTTAACCACTTGTGCCACGGGGCCGGCCCCAATCCCAGGATTTTTTAAAATATAAATTATCATACTACCTTGTTTCCATCGATTACTTATGTATCAATGAAATGTGTTATAAATATCAATTTATAAATAAAATGACAAACTACATTTCATATTTAGCTTTAAATTCAACATTTAATCATGCATTTCTGTATTAGTCACACATTTCTTAAATAGATAGGATGTTCTGATGTAGTAATGACAATTACCACCTAAGTTAAAACCAGACTGATGCATTTTATAAGAAAAGCAAATATTCAGTGTTGTTTAACACAAATTAAATGTATATTAATGAATATTAATCAAACCAACATCACTCTTTTCAAATAAAACAGTCTATAAAATGTATAAAAATATAAGGTCGTGTGTCTAGAAAGCATTTTTGCTCATAAAACTAAAAAAGATACTTTGAACAGTGTCTTTTATATAGTATTAGATCATACCAAAGAAGAATTTAATATAAGACTTTTTGTTTCTTTCTAAAAAGAGGCAACAATTATTGTTTAATGATTATTTGTTGTTAAATAATATAATATCAATCACCAAGCATTTTTTATGTAAATGGCTCCTGCTAGCAACAAGCATTATAAAAGAAAATTTGTCTTATCTGTACATGACAGAGATATAGCACATAATTAGCTCATTAAAAATACAGTTCAACCGAAGTAGCTATAATTTATTATATCAATACAATTTGAATATACTGTTTTTGAAAATAATTTATATAATAAATATAAATCACTTTAAGATTTCCATAAAAGAATAGTGTTCTCTTTCAGTCCATGATATGTTAGGGCACTTTCATGGACCCATGCAACCCTGAATTTCAAGGAGCCTTTTTTTTTCCAATTACCTATTCAAATTCACTTGCTTAGAGATAGTCAGCATGTTTCTAACGGAAAAAAAAAAAATACTGCACAATTGTCTGCTTATAGGGTGACCTCTTTCACTTGGGTAGATATCCTCTCCATCACAGACTAAATGAGGATACAACCTTGTCAAATCAAAGGCAAAAGAATAATGAGCACACGACAGGCTAACCCAGCATGGAAAAGGTCATTAAGGAGGTTGTAAAAACAGTACTCTGAATGACAAAATAAAAGTATACTCCAAAGAGTAGGTTAATATTAAAGAAAGCACTCAAGAACATGAGAAGCATTTAATCCCCATCCTTGGATGTCTGCCATACAAAACTCTACTCACATTTATTTATTTCATTAGTTACTAACCAGATTTAGTTAATATGTTTTCAAATGAATCCTGGTTGAATAGGCTTGACAAAGATACATTTATAAAATATTTATTTCCACAAAGTACATACAAATAAGTATGAACAAGTAGATAATGTTTTGCTTTTGACCAAACAATTATAAATTATCATCCAATAAGAAACAATCATTCCAATTCAAAGATCAAAAATATAAATTGGAAGTCTTCACCAAACAGTAGGATTTTACTATTGTTAAAACAAATGACAGTAACACTGATACGTTAATTGCTACCCCAGTGCATTAACTGGCATAACAGGGAATCATATTAAAACATTTTTATAAGTAGCTGAAACCAGAAGAAATTAAGCAAACTCTGTTGCAGTCTTCTCAGTGTGAATTTACTTTTAAAACAAACAAAAAAATCTCAAATCTAAACCACTCAAGCATGTACTAGAACTATGTATTATATCATTGTGTCAGTTATGCATGCTTTGACATTCCTTTCTACATTAAAACCAGAATGAAATTTTTGTTCCTGAGCACTCGTAATATTTTGACAGAGAAACAGTGCCACCTTTTGGTCCCAAACAAAAGCCTCCAGTCTACTAGTCTTCCAAACTTCCTTTTTTTCAGTTAAAATTCCTGATATATATAAATATCACTGAATTTCATGTCATAATTATCAACTTCTAGAAAATTTTTCTAGTAGCTCCAAAAACTATGAAAATACAAGAGTAACATAAAAGTTGCTTCCAAGATGCAAAATTTCAAAACAATCAAAAATAATACCAAATGCATGTACTCTGGGTCATCAATATAATAATTCCTAATCAACATTTGATTAAACACATTTTACCAAATCCAAGTATGTCAGTTAACTGATATATTTTATATATTTTAAAAATCCTTTTTCATAGTATTGTTACATTTCAAAACTGATTTTAAAAAATGCATTATATTTTAAATGTACCCATTAATTTAGTAATGGAGAATATGCATCAACAGTGGATTATCAGTTAAATCAGATAATTATAAGTAATTTTATATACAAATATAGTATGTTTCTGATTTACTTACACCAATGACACAATGTCACCACGCTGTACTTCAAAATTCCTCACTTTCCAGTGATTCAAAAGCACCACATCAGATGATTGGCTTCCCCCAGGATTCAAAGAAGGCTAAAAAACAAGGAGAAAGAGACACATCTATCATTTGTATTTTTCAATCTTCACGGTTCCTTGCACTTCATAGCTATAGTGCAGGGCAATAAAACATTTCTAATATAGTAGCTTTCAATAAATTGCTATTCTAAAGTACCTGCAAATGATGAGTTTTCAAAAAGGCTCATTGGGATTCTTCACAGGTGAACCAGAAAAAAAATAAATTACCAATACTTATTTGAAAAGAAAATGTGCTAGGTATTCAAATCTTTATTAAACTCCACTAAAGAGGTATGGAAAACTTTAAGAAAGATTAAAAAGACATTAGGACTAGCAAATCGAATACAACAATACATTAAAAAGATCATTCACCATGATCAAGTGGGATTTATCCCAGGGATGCAGGGATGGTTCAACATCTGCAAATCAATCAACGTGATACACCACATTAACAAAATGAAGAATAAAAATCACATTATCATCTCAATAGATGCAGAGAAAGCATTTGACAAGATCCAGCATCGATTTACGATAAAAACTCTGAATAAAATGGGTACAGAAGGAAAGTACCTCAACATAATAAAGGCCATATATGACAAACTCACAGCTAATATCATCCTCAATGGTGAAAAACTGACAGTTATCCCTCTAAGAACAGGAACCAGACAAGGATGTCCACTTTCACCACTCCTATTTAAAATAGTATTGGACGTCCTGGCTGGAGAAATCAGGCAAGAAAAAGAAATAAAAGGGATCCAAATTAGAAAGGAAGAAGTGAAACTGTAACTATTTGCAGGTGACATGATTTTATATATAGAAAACCCTAAAGAATCCAGCAAAAAACTTTTAGAAATAATAAATGAATACAGTAAAGTTGCAGGATACAAAATCAACATACAAAAATCAGTTGCATTTCTACACACTAACAACAAAGCAGCAGAAAGAGAAATTAAGAATACAATCCCATTTACGGTTGCAACAAAAAAGAATAAAATACCTAGGAATAAACTTAACCAAAGAGGTGAAAGACCTGTATAATGAAAACCATAAAACAGTGTTGAAAGAAATTGAAGAAGACACAAAGAAATGGAAAGATATTCCGTGCTCTTGGATTGGAAGAATTAACATAATTAAAATGTCCATACTTCCTAAAGCAATCTATAGATTCAATGCAATCCCTATCAAAGTTCCAACAACACTTTTCACAGAAATAGAAGAAAGAATCCTAAAATTTATATGAAACAACAAAAGACCCCAAATAGCCAAAGAAATCCTGAGAAAAAAGAACAAAGCTGGAGGTATCACATTCCCTGATTTCAAAACATATTACAAAGCTACAGTAACCAAAACAGCATGGTACTGGCACAAAAACAGACACACAGATCAATGGCACAGAATCAAGAACCCAGAAATGAACCCACATATCTATGGACAGCTACTTTTCGACAAGGGAGGGAAGAACATCCGTAGAGAAAGGAAAGCCTCTTCAATAAATGGTGCTGGGAAAACTGGACAGCCACATGTGAAAAAATGAAAGTAGACCATTATCTTATACCATATACAAAAATTAACTCAAAATGGATTAAAGACTTGAATGTAAGACCTGAAACCTTGAAACTTCTAGAAGAAAACATGGGCAGTATGCTCTTTGACATCGGTCTTAGCAACATATTTTCAAGTACCATGTCTGACCAGGCAAGGGAAATAGTAGAATAAATAAACACATAGGACTACATAAAACTAAAAAGCTTCTGCACAGCAAAGGAAACCATCAATAAAATGAAAAGACAACTTAACAATTGGGAGAAGATATTTGCAAACCATATGTCTGATAAGGGGTTAATATCCAAAATATATAAAGAAATCATGCATCTCAACAACAAAAAAACTAAAACCCAATTAAAAAATGGGCAAAAGACATGAACAGATATTTCTCCAAAGAAGATATACAGATGGCCAACAGACACATGAAAAGATGTTCAACATCATTAACCACCAGGGAAATACAAATCAAAACTATAATGAGATATCACCACACTCCCGTCAGAATGGCTATAATTAACAAGACAAGAAACAACTGTTGGAGAGGATGTGGAGAGAAGGGAACTCTCATACACTGCTGGTGGGAGTGCAAACTGGTGCAGCCACTATGGAAAACAGTATGGAGATTCCTCAAAAAATTAAGGATAGAACTACCATATGATCCAGCTATTCCACTGCTGGGTGTTTATCCAAAGAACATGAAAACACGCGTGCATAAAGATACATGCACCCCGTGTTCATTGCAGCATTATTCACAACAACCAAGACTTGGAAGCAACCTAAGTGCCCATCAACGGACAAATGGATAAAGAAGATGTGTACACATACACAATGGAATACTACTCAGCCATAAGAAACGATGAAATCCAGCCATTTGTGACAACATGGTTGGACATTGAGGGTATTATGCTATGTGAAATAAGTCAGAGGAGAAGGTCAAGTACCGTATGATCTCACTTATAAGTATAAGATAAAAACAACAACAAACAAACACGTAGAGACAGAGATTGGATTGATGGTTACCAGAGGGGAAGGGGGTAGAGAAGAAGGCGAAAGGGATGATTAGGCACATGTGTGTGGTGATGGATTATAATTAGTCTTTGGGTGGTGAACATGATGTAATCTATGCAGAAATAGAAGTAAAATGATGTAGACCTGAAATTTATATAATGTTAGAACCAATGTTACCACAATAAAAATTAAAAAATAAAACATAAAAATAAGAAGACATTAGGAAGATGTGAGTGAAAAGAAGACACAATCTCAAATCAACCAGGAAAATACCCATATGAAGAAGTGAAGGGAATAAAAGAAATAAGTGATGGGGCAATCACGGAAAATGTGGGGATTTCCCATCTTGACCTCTCTTGTCTGGAGAGAGCATGCATCAAGTCTCCTGGTCCCAGTTTAAGCCTAAGAAGTGGCCTTCACCCTAAAATTCAGACAAGTCTAGATATGCCTGAGGATTGATGGGGCAAGAACTGAGAAACATTTTGTGTAAGAATTCATCTGAAGGTCAGGAACCACGTAGGCACAAAAATCTGATTGAGGAACCATGAAGCCAGTATACCTGTCACTTCGACAAGGGTGCAGAAAAGCCAATGGATAACACGTCTGAGACCTGAGGTGAGAGTGGTGACACAAGAATGAGAAAAACTAGGAGAGCTTTTTCACCATTGACTCTACTGGGTCTCTAAGAACGTCATAAGGGGAAACAGCAATTTCTGTGGTGACAGGAAAGGTGCCCCACCACAACTGAGGCTCTCCGCCTTCACTGATGGTGGCAACGAGAAGAGACATAACTACAGCAACCAGGGCAGGTGCGAGGAAAACAGTGGATGCCAGACAACAGCCAGGCCCTGGAGCAGCAGTGACAGTCTTTTTAAAAGATTCCTGGAATTATTTGTAGACTTTCTACAAAGCAGATGTGGGCAAAGCTGTGGAAATGTTATGTGGGGGCTATTATCACGACCTCATTTTTGACCACCTACATTTTTTGTGGCCAAAAAATATTGGTTATCCTTGGAGAGCTCAAACAACCCAGCTTCTACCAACTCCTTTATATGATAATACCTAAAAATCTCTATTTTTAGTTTTTAATTCGCTGCTAATCATTTCACTTGACTATCTGACATAAAAGTCAACATGATTAAATGGAATTTGTCATCCTTTCCTACCAAAAAAAGTTTTCTTCCTTATATTCCTACATCCTATTGAGCATTTTCCCAGTCAACCAGCTTAAATTCTTAGTTATCGTTTTACTTTAACCAGTCACCAAGCTAAAGGGGTTTTTTTCCTTATAATGTCTTTCATTTATGGCTCATCTTTTCTCTTCTCTCTACTATCATCACATTTCAAGCATCAATCTTCACCATGCATCTACACTAGTCAATCTCTCACCTCCAACTCAGAACGAATGATTTCATTTCTTTCTAGCTACATGATTTGAGCAAGTTACTTAACTTTATTATGTTTCAATTTCCTTACTAGTAAAATTATGATAATCAGCAACTGTTACCTAATTAATAATTAAATAACAATAACAGCCAAAACTTACCAAGTGTACTGTTCTAATAACAATAGCCAGACATACTGAGTGCTTACCATGTGCAAGACACTGTCATAAGGACTTTACAAATATTAACTCACTTGATGAGATCAATTATTTAAAGGGTTTACAATAGTTCTTGACTCAAAGTTAAGCTCTCGATAACTTACTAATATTACTATATCACAATTTTAATTATGGGGAGTTTTGTACCCTTTCCCCAGGTTTTTCCTCTTGCTCTATCCCTAATGAGGAACAGAGTTGATATGGTGGGATAAATCCAAGGGGCTTCGCTGGGCCACGGTGCAAGGGAATGGAGTTTTTGCCATCACATAGTAAGGTGAGACTAAAAGTTAGGCTTCCATAGGGGTTCGTTCTCTCTCATTCATATTTCTCATTCATATTCTCTCGTTCTATCTCCCTCTTTCTCTCCATCTTTGAGTTAACTATCTTGCAAGTCCTTTTCCCTTATTTCTTTGTATTTTTCCTCCTATATAACTGATGCAGTAAAGGTGGTCTGGGGAGACCATTTGAACTATAAAGAGAAAACCTCCTTCCCATTGCACTTTCATTGAGTTCACTTCTTTACTTTGCCATCAGAATAGCGAAGAATAACAGTGATTTAATTATTTCTGACTATTCTTCTTTACTCTCTTTTATTGGTGTTTTTCAAAAGTTTATGACCACAACCCGTAATAAAAAATGCATTTTACACTGCATCCAGTACACACATGATAAATACATATCTGAACAAAATTACACAAAATAATAATTTTTACTACATACATCCTAATAGTTTCTGTTCTCTCCTAATCCATGTTTTTAAAATTCTGTCTATAAACAACAATATTAATTGCACATCTACTATATTGATTTTGCAACCTACTAATAAGTTGCAATCCACAGCGCTAAAATCATAGTTTTAGAT